AACAATTTGGTCCCATGACCTGCTGAACATATCAAAATGTGCTGAAGTGAATAAATTAGCCAGTTTCTTGGGCTTTTCTATTCAAAAGGTGAAAAGTCAGAACTTTTTTTATTTAAAAAATTAAATTTAGAACTTTATTAAAAATTTGCTCAAAATATTGGGACTTTTCTGGAGATATCATATGTTCATCTCACATGAACTCTTACCTATTATACTATATCATTTAGGCTTGACTTTTCATTGGAAGGCGGGAATACATCTTTAAGTTCCTGCCAAAAATCAATCATCTTCTACTAATTCTACATATCATTGACCTGGTACATACACAATCAAATTATGTTGTTAATCCACACAAAAAAGAGATAAAAAGAGTAAATGATATAGAAGGAAAAAAAAAGAGAGAGATGAGGGACTAATAGAAGGGTAGAGAGAGATATAGTTACAATAGATTAGAAATTCTATTAAAAAATCATGCATCTGGATTCCCATACCGACAATAGGATTTCCAACCCGGTCTTACTAAAATTGAGTTTGTACCTAGGATGACCCAATCCTATCTCTTCACTCTAAGCCCTAAAAATTAGACCATTCCAGCTCGTAATCATCAATATATCATCGAGGTTCGTTCCATTTGTATTAAGATTTTGTTAATGTTCGTAACTTCATTTTTAAATTGTGCAATCGACCCATATACTTATAAACTTGTGTTAGATTAAGCAAAAATACAAATCTAGAAAAAATCCTTAATTACTTATCAGAAAAATAGCCAAAAAAACCACTTAGTCAAAAATAGCCCACAAAAGAGTAGTCAACCTACAGTTGATTACTCTTTTCCGCAGTTGACTACTCTTTTCCCCTAATGAACTACTGTTTCACTGGCACGTTTACTTTTTCGTGGTCCGTAAGTTCAATGTATATAATGTAAAAATTTTCAGATTATGTCATTTTTTCCTATTGTTTTATTGGTTTGACTACTTTTTTCTCTCAATGGAGCACCTAAAGAACAACCAAGTTTGTCTACTTTTCATCAAAATTTTACTATGTTTGTGATTAGGAGTATGTTTCGTATATGGGGTTAAGATTTTTTTGAAAAAAAATCGAAAACAAAAATATAAAACTATAGGTTTCATACGAAACGTACGGTGTAGAAGTGCCCAATGCACAGATTGTGTAGTGTCGAAATGTACACCTACAGTTTCGTATGAATCGTATGAAAAAAAAATTTCATTTTCTTAGAAGTCGATTCAATCAGATCGGAATTGTATATATGTTATTATTTAATGATTTTTTTTATAAAACTAAAAAAAAATTGTGAAACCATAGGTTTCCAAAAAAAACTATAATTTTATTTTTTTTCGGGTTTTTTAATAAAAAAAATTATAACTAATAAACATTTGTATATATTTTTCGATTTTGTGATTTTTTTGTTGGAAAAAAATAAAATAAACTAAAAACCGTAGGTTTCCTAAAACCTACGGTTATATATATATATATATATATATATATATATATATATATATATATATTCTTTTTTCTTCAAAAAAAAAAATTGTTTATACGGAATTTTAACGATTGTATCCTCTTGTATGTATGTTATGATTCCATGTTTGCATTTTGTGAAAAAGTATGTTTTTACGTCTCAATTATAGCATACAATAGCAATGTACTATCTATTTGAAAAAGTTTTATGTTTATAATGTGTAGATACTTTGAAGTATAATATATTGATAAAAAAAATATTGTGTTTTGGTACTTTCGGATTTTTTTATAAAATATGTTATTGTCACACCATTTTCAAAGTACAATGCTAAATTTGGTATAGTAGTATAAAATATACAAAAATTGGTCTTCAGATATTTTCCTTTGGTATTTTATATAAAGTAAATAGAATATATGAACTCATTAAGTGATATACTGTGTGATTTATCTACTTTAACATTGTTTTTTCTTTTTATAAAACCTTATTTAACTTTAATTTTTATTTTATTTTGTAGCTTCCTAACAAAAGGATGACGTGCAACATATCTATCAAAGCTTCATGTCACAAGTTGCATGAAGTTTTGAGTGGCTTGAATGGGCCAGTGCGTGAGGTTTTTTCAACAATTAGCTTCGGTTACTTGTTGGATCTACCAGCTTAGTCCGGAGATGGACTTTTTATTCATGGCTTATTACTTCATATGTTGTATCCTACTACTGAAACGGACGCAGCTGAGCGTCTACATTTTATGGTTTCTATACGTACTTAATCATTTGGGCCCGAGGATTTTGTATTGTCTCGGGACTTTACATGGGTCGGTGTCCTACATCAAGGATCAAATTTTCAACTATGTATAATCACGGATACAGTGATAATACATTTCGGTCCAAAGTCTTCCCATATCACACGGACACTACTTTACTTGTAGAAGATTTATAACACCTTATCTTCAGTCAACGGTTCAATGATATATCGGCTCATGTCGGTGTCCGTGCCATTTTGCTATATGTCCTCAATCAAGGTTTTTTAGGAAAAGAGCTGAAAGACAAAGTCACGAAGGAATTTTTGTGGGTGGTGGAGAACCTGGATCAATGGAATAGGTATTTATCAATTTAATATATGTAAAAAAAGGAAGTCATTGCTATGAAAAAAGAGTATCCGTACTAGTTTCCGATGTGGGAAGAAGATGAGTAGTATTTTAATAATGTGTTTGTTTGTTGTAGTAATTTTAAGGTACTATATGTCTATGTATGTATTTCCTTTTTAATTTTAAGGTAGTATATCTGTATCTTTGTTTTTCATTAGTATATCCGACAAAGAAGTAGTCAAGTTTAACAAAAAAGTAGTCAAATTTACAAAAAAAAAAAAAAAAAATCTAGCAAAAATCCTTTTTTTATTATTTGGTAAAAACTATTTATTATTTAAAAAAAAAAAAAAAAAAAAAAACAAGATAATCGTCAAAATAATTGTTAAAATAATTCTCAAAATAACTAGTAAAAATAATTCTACATTTTATAAACATTTATGAAAAAATTTTAACAAAATAATTGTTAAAATAATTCTACATCTTATAAACACTTTTTTTTATACTCTATATTACAAAAAAATAAAAAATAAAAAATAAAACCGTAGTATTTTTTTTGCCAAAACAGTAGATTAAACCCTAAAACAGTAGACTTAAAAAAAAAACGTATTTTTTTTCCCAAAACCGTAGGCTACGGTTTGGGAAACCGCAGGTTTTATGAGAGAAACCGTTTTGTATCTTAAAAATGATTTTTTTTTTTTTTTTTTTTTTTTTTTTTTTTTTAAAAAAAAAACACGAAACAGTAACGAATTGGTGAAACAGTAAACGAATATAGAAACATACGCTTTCGTGGGCTATATTTGGACATTTACTAATTTTTGGCTAAAAATGACTGATCACTTCCTTAATTTTGCTAAATTAGTAATTACCCCTTGTTTTTTCTTCTGAACATCAGGTAGTTTTTGTTACGACTCAACTAGCTAACAAGGTAATAGCAAGAGCAACATTGCACCAAAGACACAATTACAAGAGGGGAAATACATGGGAGAATGGTTATCAAAGGCCCAAAGAAACAATATAGTTCGTTTCTATTTTCCTCTAGTTAATTGTCTGTGTTTGTTTGTGTATGTTACTATACTATTTTAGAAAGATTTTGCGACTGTTTTTATGTATGCCTCTTTATCAGAAAAAATTGTGTATGTGCCTGTTTATATGAAATGTTTGGCTTCGTATTACTAATTACTTGTCAGGGCATAAAACATATATATGATTGTATGTGTGTAGTGACTGTTTGTGTATATGAACTTAAGATGCTATGAAAAAAAATCAATGAAAATATGATGCAGGGTAAATAGAGTTGGTGTTAAAATTAATAAAAGATAAACTTATTCTGGTTAAATACATGTTTGGTATTACCGTTGAACTGAACGAAAAATAAGAAATTTTGAAAAATGATTGATTTATAGTTTTTTTTTTTATATATTATTTTGGTAGTGGATTTGGCATGTGTATTAATTTCAGCTAGCATATTGTAGTTATAAGTATGGATCAAATTCGCCTATTGTAACTGAATGCCTTAGCCCTCAAATCTCAATACACTCTTTCTTAATTCATTTGTCAAAAAACCGGTTGTTGAAAAACAAGTTATGTCCTTGAGTCATAAATCAGGGTTACAAATAGAAAATTGGGTTATATAATTTTACAGCAAAAAGAATTGGTTCCTTTCTTTTAACCGGTTTATTTAATTTGAACATATACCTTGGTTTTAACTGAGCCTTATAACACTTCGCTTTATAATACCCGGTTTTTGCATAACAGAACCTGTTTTTTTCAAAATCCAGGTCCTATATAGTGTCTTATGTGCCTTTTGTAGTAGAGACAATATCCTAATAAAAAACTGAAAGTGCAATGCTATTATTATTTAGAATTTTAAAGTAGAATGACTTGGTAAGAAAATAATTGAAAGTAGAATGCTGTGATCTTAGTGTTAAAAGGCGCGAAGCACTCCGAGGCGATTAGACACTCAAGACCCTCATTTTTTGAGACGTTTCGAATCAATGGATTCATATACACGAGGCGCTTATATTTGCAAAATAAATTTAATGTATTTTAGAACCATACCTCATAGAAAAAACAGCTTAATAATCAATTAGATGCATTATGTCATTATGTGTCACCTAGTGCACTACATTCTCCTCTCCTATCTCTTGGACCATATCATCAAGCATTTTAAATAATGTGTTTGTGGAACTCTAAGCCCAGGCGTGCTTGGTAGTTTGAATCTTGTAGTTGATGATCAAATTCCTAGATATTTGATATTGATGATCAAATGTCTTAGGCACAAGAACAAGACATTCATATTAGGAATGTACAAAATCTAAGGGCCAAAAGCGTGATATCCATACATATACTCACAACTCACAATATTAATAAAATAGACGATGAGATGGTGGTTTTTAAAAATTTAAAATACGAAAGAAACTCAAAATAACTAATAATTATAGTATAAAATATCACCTGATTGACAAAATCACACGATTTAATTAAGTAAAAAAATAGAAAATCTTGATAAAAACCAAATACTTTGAAATCAAAGCCCTAAAGAAATGAATTTGGGCTTCACAATCCTGTTGAGACGTTTCCATGGAGTGCTCATGGCTGCCTAATTCTTTATATAAAAGTTATGCTCGTGTACAGTTAAACCACTTCCTCCACGTACATGAACGTTTAGCGTGTTGTTCTAACCCAGCCTCGACCATGACCTCAACGTCGACTTTGACCTCAGACTCAGACTCAACGACCTCAGCCACGACAGGGTCCTCATCTCCATCAACCTCATCCTTATCATTAAGGATGAGATCGTTGCACGTAGATGTTCCAATTTCCTAGCATTCAATATTGCAAGGTTACAACTCCATTTATTATTTTGTTAAAATCATGGACTAATCAAGAAATTTGATGAAAACATTAATGTGATAAGAGAAAGATGTAAGTGTCAAAAAGTGTACCTCGGGTATGTGACCAACTATGGCTGGCTTCCTTTGGGATAAAGCTGTAAACAAGATTTCATCTCCTGATAAAAATAGAGAAAAAGTATTACGTTAGTTATCAGTTACATGCATCCTGTTGGAGAAAGTTAGGCTTCTCAATGTGCTGGGTCAGATCTAATCTTTACATTTATGTGATCCAAAATATCAAAAACTTGATCAATGGACCCCACAAATTGACCCATTTAGGTGGACTAATACTTGGATCCATCCGATTAAAATTTAAAACTAGTTTCGTATTTTATAGATATAAACTCTGATTTTAATCAATGAACTTTTGGCACAAAATAACTAGATAAAAAGTAATACATAGGACACAACAAAAAATTATTTAATAAGTAGAATGATATATACCTTTATAGTAGTCGCGGTCTCCAACAAATTTACCATATCTCATAAATGGTTTGACACCATGTGTAGTAATTCGCAATATGCTTAGGATGTATTCTCCAGTTGTTAGCTGATAACCAGTAAGATCTCCACCAATGATGTGATTCCATGACTTGTAATAACCCAATGCATCTTCTTCATCTGTGTTTCCATCATCATAAACAACACTTACCCCACACTCCATTGCAATTTCATTATATGACCTAAACTTTCTTAGAGTGATACTAATCAAGTCACCACCTTCCATCTCATTCATCCTAAACATCCAATGGCTTAACACAGTGTAAGACTCTTTACCTACACCAACATCGGCAATGCAATGATCATATATCCAGGTTCGGTTTTTTGTTATATTATGAATAATGATCACGGGCAATCGATATGTGCTGACATAGCAAAAATTAAATCCTCTAGGCTTGTTAGGAGATGATAAAATGGTAAATGATATTGATGGCCCGTTGCTTCTATGTGTAATCCAATTCGGCATATCTTTCCCCCGATAAATTGTGCTGAATATTCCAAATTCATAATACATCTGCCAAATTAAGACAACCAACCGGCTTAATTAATCATCGTAAATTATATATATATATATATATATATATATATATATATATATATATATATATATATATTCATAGACATAAAGTTAACTAGAGATAAAACCTGGATTTGATGTTCCTGTGAGTTTTTCCCATTAGAATAAGTTTGCACGCCCCTTTTGTTAAGGAAGTCGAGCTTGTTCCAGCACAAACTATGTAATACCTTTTCCTTAACACCTGCCATTGGTTGGATCTTGACCATGCCTTCAATTTCACACGACTGAGGTGCTAACCTTGTCCATGGTATTAATAAGTCGAGTGGGCGCATTTCTGGATCAAATACAACCTTACGTAGCACATGCCTTTTATTAGAAAAGATGCTCAAAAATGTTAGTGAAGTTGGAGGATGCTCGACTAATGTAAGCATGTCACAGTGTTGCATACTGAGCGCCTGAAGCCTAGAAAGGCTTCTCACACAATTAGGCATGGAACTGATACGGTTTTCATCTAAATTTAATGCCTCTAACATGGACAAGCAACTAAAATCCATCGGAAAGGATTTCGTGTACAAATTATTTTTTGCAAGTGACAACCTTACTAAAGAGCTCGGCAAAGAAATCATGAAGAACTTCAAATCATTTGGTATAGCCTCAACAACGGTGGAGGAAGAGAATTTTGTGTTTATGCCAACGTTGTTAGCCTTGACCATTTTGCATTTATCCCTAATCTCGATTTGAGATCCACCGAGATTGCAACCATCTAGCAATAGTGTTTTAACCATCTTTAACATGCCCATGGTAAGTTTTTCAAGCTTGTTGCAGTACCTCAGATCAATGTAGACAAGTTCAACACAATTCTGAACTGATTCACAAACATCAACTAATTCATTGCAATTTGTAGCTATTAACCTCTCAAGTGCAGGGAATTCTACAAAGCCAACCAAACTATGAAGCTGTCCACAAAAACTTAAATTAAGAATCTTCAATGATCCAAGAAACTTTTTGTCTTTTGCGCGAGATCCAATTGACTGCTGAAATAGGGAAAAGTTAGAATAATAGCGAAGTTCATCAACTCGGCATGGATGAATAATAAATGGAAATAAGTTACCTTTTCCCTGTTCTCGAGTTGTGGATTACTATAAAAATTGATAAATGATTCAATATTGCTATACGACATGTCAAGAGCAACCGGATTATCCGTCGGTAAGTCTGAAGGTATATACTTTGAAGGGAACCCATGCATACACAACCATCTTAATTCTTTCGAAAAGTTTTCATAAGACCCTTGGACATTCACATAATTGAGTTGTAGGAGCAACAAATTATCCATGTTACTCAATACATCTGTTTTTAACTCAAATGATCCACCTAGCATCTCTTTCTTAAGCATTCTCATGTCAAGGGTGAGGCCGAGAAGATTTCCCATACTCTAACAAGAAAAGAAATGCAAAAAAAAAAAAAAAAAAAAAATTTAAATTGTGACATATACGTATACATATGAGTACGTGGTATGTACATACATACGTACATACATACATACATACAATACATAATACTTTGAATGTGCATAATATTAACAACTATACAATAATTTCTTACCTTTTTTTGCTTCAACACTTTGAATGACTCCTCATTACACCATAATCGACTTCGCTTCCATGGCTTGTCAGGTGATTCTTGATGCACTACAAATCTTCCCATCTCCTGAATCAACCGATGCATCATCAATGTGTTATTCTGTCCGATACTAAGAAGGCATTTATCAATGAGATTCATGATCCCAGATCTTGTTTTTATATCACATGCCTTTAATATTGTTTCAGTAAAATCTCTATCTATTCCAACAAAAAAACAAGCAATATACTTAAACAAGTCTTTATCATTTTTCGATGACAATGAGTCAAAGCTTTTTCTCAAGACATTGTTTATAGGTGAGCCATTGTCTTTCTTTAGCCCTTCCAGGTGTTCTTCCCAATAAACTACATCTCGGTTATACAGAGACTTGCCCAAAACTTGAAGAGCCAATGGATGTCCTTGACAATACTGCACAAGCTTTTCTAATACCTCTTTATAGCATGCCTTGGGATGGTTGGGCCTGAATGCATGAAAACAGAAAAGTTGTTGTGCTTCGTGCTTATTTAAGCCTGGAAGCAGATGCTTTGCATGCAAGGGCTTAATGGTCGCTTTGAACAATGCACAACTCTCTGTCAACCATGCGTCCTTTGTTGTTATAATAATTTTGCTTCCCGGATGAAAACCTTTGCTTCCAAGTAATGCATCCAATTGGTCGAGACTATTAATATCATCAAGAACAAGAAACACCTTTTTAAAGGCTATAGCATTCTCTATCTTTGAAGTGTATATAGAAACATCACGAACTTGTATTGAACTTGTTTTTGATATGTCATCATAGAGTTGTTTTTGTAAATCAAGCAACCCATTAAAATTTCCATCACATTTCCTACTGATATCTTCAATAAAGCTGCTTGTGTCGAATTCATGAGAATGTAACCCATAGACATATTTGGCCAAAGACGTCTTCCCGATCCCACCCATACCCAAAATAGTGAGTATGCCTGTCTTTTGTGGGGATGTATCTTTTAACCATGAAGTGATGAAATTCTTGGAATAGGCCATCCCAATTAGTTGTGGCACAGGAATCCTTGAGTGTTTGCGTAATCTAAAGTGGATGTTGTTAACAATTTCATCAATAAACTCTGTCTCCTGCCTGAAAGTTGATTTTAGTAAGAACCACAAAACACAATTCAAAAACCTAACATACCAGATCTGGAGATTTAATTTATTCAAAGATCCAATTTCATATGAAGCTATTATACGGTTAGTTAAGTTTTTCACATCAAAATTCCAACATATATATGCAGTTCTAACCATATAAGTATATGATGTTTAAGGCCACAATTTCTATGTATAATACGATTAGAACCACTACTGTTGAAAGATATAAGCTAGACAAGGGTAGTTTGGTAATTATCTGTTGAAACAGTAGTTATTAGTATTTATTATCAGTAATTATTGTATTGCATCTAAGGTCTATGATATGTACGTGTCACTGTAATGTTTGGTTGTTACAATAATTAATAAAGATTTGTGTTTCGTGTGTAAGGCAACCCTTCTTCATTGTTTTTTCTGTTAAACTCCTCTTGACAAATTCTGTGTTGTTTGTGGTTTGTTTCCAACAAGAAGAAATATTTCTACATGTTTATTGTTTTCTGGGTTGTTTCTCCAACAAATACAAGATTTCACTAACAAGCAACCGAAATTTCATTATGTTTTGAAAAATCCATCAATGTAAAATATTGATGTCGTTTTGCATGAATCTATAATAAATGTTATTTATGGTTTATAGATAATTTGATAGCAAGGCATTCAAAATTTGATTTTTTAATTCTTTTTTAGAACAGCAAAGAATATTATAAACAAAAAAATAATTTCGGGGATCAATTGGTAAAAAAAAAAAGTCTCATTTTCTTCTAAATCCGATTCACACTTAATTTGTATTGATCCCCGAACTTATTTTTATTTTTAGCTTTATAGCGGCACAATGTGAGTTTTTTTGGTCTAAAAGGTCACTCAACCGGCTATTACAGGTTAACACATCCTAAAAGAGCAGATCATATTCTAGTTTAGGGACCCATAAAGCCCGAAAAAAACTTTAAGAACTCAACGGGTAAACCTTAGAAAGTTCGTAGGGCATTTGTGTCATTTTCCCTTAGGGAATTATCAATCCATCACAGATCGAGGATACTACTCAAGAGGAATTGGGGAAAAACAAGAACTTCTTAGTTAGAATAAGACCATCTGAATGGATTTGAACTCATGCTATGAGTAATATGTATTGATTTGAACCACAAGAAATACAACATATATAACCCCAAAGAACACACACCCTAAACCAGATTATAACACCAACCTAAAAAATTATAATTATGGCAGGTCCTGATATTAGTGTAAAGAAAAAATATAAAACACACACACACAACTATCAGCGATTATTATACACTCCAAAAAAACAGACACACATATTATAATTATCAAATGATTAATATATCTACTAAATAAATTAAATTAAGAATATTATAATAGCTGTATAACAATTTATAAAATTTGATTCTAACCCAAAACATGTCAGAATGCAAAATGGTTAATCACTGACGCATTTTTATCCGATTTAAATCAATTCATTTATCAATCATATAATTGAAAATTAGATTCCACTTGTTGCATCTTGGTCCAGTTAACATCTACAAAACATACGTCGTTTCAAACTTTGAAGAAACGTAGCATTCAGAGAAGATGCACTGAAATTTCATGTGTTGATCAAACAAAAGTGAAGGAGGCGTGTGTAAATATGGGTAAGAAAGTAGTTACCTGCCATCTACATTCATCCCTTTCAAATCAGCAACTTCAGTAAGAGCTTGACTCCATCGGTTAAGCCTTTGAGCCCATTGACTTCTTTTATTTGGATTTGTCTCAGCCTTCATCACTTGTTTATGCTTAGCAATTGCATCTCCAAAGCTACTTTGTTGCTTCCGGACATGGGTGGGATCGACATGATAGAAGATGGGAATAACAATTTGATTTGAGGCCTTACGTTCCCCAAGGATTAGTACGAGTTCATCAAGACACCATGACGAATTAGCATAGTTCTTGGACAACACGACAATAGATGATCTAGATTCTTTAATGGCACCTTCCAATTCCGGTTTAAGATCACCTCCAGTTTCAATCTCTTTATCATCCAAAAAGGTAGAAATATCGGCACCCAGGAGGGCCTTATGGAGATGATCTGTGAAACTATGACGAGTATCAGCACCTCGAAAACTTAAAAACACGTCATATTTATGATCATTAGTAGATGAAGACGATCCTTCAATGTATTCAGATAATATAACCATTAGGAGAGGGAAGATATGAGTTCTTTGAGACTAGATCTACGATCAAATTAAGACTGGCTAGGCAGGCTTTTGTAAAGGAAATCCAAGTATACATCTTATTTTTGAACGGGGAGAATTGTATTAAACTAATCCGTGCAAGTCAACAACTACTTCTAATAAATAATAAATAAATAAATATGCTCTACGAATTTTCTTAGAAGCTTACTAGATGAATTTGAATAATAGATTACATGGGTTGGGTATCCAATTTTCTTGGAAACTTACTAGAAGAATTTAAACAATTTATGAGATTTGGTTGAATTGCAAAAGTTATGCAAGTATCATACATGGGATTAGAATATTTCTTTATAAAAGTTCTACCAAAAATAATGGTCTTTATGGTTTTAAAAATTAATTCCATTGTTTATGATTTTTTTTGAATGAATAAAATGTAACTATTAGTTTATAATGGCACCAGTTTTTTTTGACCAACTCTTTTAACAACTTTTGTTAAATTTTCAATATGTATTAATTTTTAATCTTTAAATTTAAAGATAATAAATACTCCCTCCCCCCCCCCCCCCCCCCCCCCTCCTCATTTGAAATCGATCCAGAAGCCTAAATTCCCCTCTCATTTGAAATTGATTGTGTAACATCCGGATTCCTAGGTATATTATTTTATTCATTTATTTTGGAGTTTGTGGAGGAACTCGGCGAGTTGGTGCTTAGACTCACCGAGTAGGGTCGCGGATTCTCATCCGGGTTCATGACTGGACTCGGCGAGTCCACGCTGTTTATTGAAACCCTAATTTCTCGGGTTTGGGACCTATTTAAAGGCCCTTAGAGCCGTCATTTGCGGCTACCAAACCCCAGAGAGAAACCCTAAAAGAGCTAGAGCGTTTGTGAGAGGAAAGAAGCCATTTCTTGATCTTTGTGGTTGATTCTTGCAAGAAAGAGGTGATTCCAGCTTAGAGGAGACCAAGGAGGTTGTACATCTGTGGATTTCGAGCATAAGACTTCATCTTTAAGGTATTATATCGCCTCTCTATCTGTTTTGTTGAAGGAATCCATAGATGTAGAGTTTTTATGTCTTTTATTGGAATGAATTGTGAGAATATGGCCCCTATTCATATTGAGACTTCAGATCTGGACCCATAGTGGTCTAAAGAGCTTATCTCAGCTTGCTTTATGTTGATCAATGGAGGTGTTGAGCTTAGGATGTTACTTTTGGGGCTAAATCACCAAGTGAAACCTCTTAGACGTCCCATGAGTGTTAAGATTCGAGCTTTACGTGTTTATCAAGCTTGGGAAGGTCAGATCTATGGATCAAAGGAACAGATCTGACCTTAGGAGGTCAATTGAGTTTGTGCATGGCATGAACTCGCTGAGTCCAAGGGTAGACTCGGCAAGTAGGGTTAGGGTTTCCCGTAAATCACTCAGTGAGTAGACTTGTCAAGTTGGGGGAATGACTTAGTAAGTCAGAGGGGGATTAGAGGACTGGAGTTCAAGGCGGAACTTGCCGAGTTGAGCTTGAGACTCGGCGAGTTGAGTCGGGGTGGCCCTGCGATTCATGCCAGGTATAACTCGTCGAGCAAGGGGAGAGACTCGACGTGCCAAGCGAGACTAGAGAGTTAGTGGACACATGTAGACTCGCTGAGTCGCCCAAGTAGACTCGACAAGTCGGGTCAAAGTTTGACCGTTGACTTTTGTTGACTTTTAGGGTTTCGTTAACAATGGAGGCCTTTGAGCCAAGAGAAGGGTGAAATGGTCTTTTACCCTTCTGAGGGTGCCAAGAGAGGGTTGAGTCTAGTCCCGAGAGTTATATTTATGAGAGTATTTACTTTGTGTGATTAGACGGAGGCTAGATCATATTTCTACCGAGTCAGAGATTTACCGAGACATCTGAGGTGAGTCTTCTCAGTATACTTTACCTACTGTGGTAACAGAGTTATGTGACAGTGTATGTTAGAGTTACGTGCCAGTGTATATGCATGTTATTTATGTGTTGTGATTCATTTTGATACGTGATATGCATGACCCAGAGTTTACAGAGTAGGACCAGTGGGTCCATAGAGTTACGACCTTCGGGTCCATAGAGTTAGGGCCAGAGGGCCCACAGAGAGTTGGGGCTGGAAGGTCCCACTGAGACACATTGACCAGAGGGTCAACAGAGTTATACCCTCGAGTGGCTAATATGTGTTAGAGTGGTATTTTGTGGAACTCGCTAAGCAATTATGCTTACAGTGTTATGTGTTATGTGTTTCAGGTACCAGTGATGATCGCGGGAAGGCGCCGACATGATTCGTACACACGCACACCGGAGTTTATATATTTTTAATCTTGGGGTTTTGTATTGAGATAAGGTTGATACAATGTTTTGAAAAATGAATGTGAATGATATTTTATGTTTTTTTAAAAAGTGAAAAATTGTTTAAATTTTTACGGTGTTACAAGTTGGTATCAGAGTCTTGGTTTGAGGGATTCAGATGCATTTTCCGGTGTATCTTAACTTAAACTGAGGATTTGAGGAAATTTTTTGATAATAAAGTAAAATTTTTAAAGAGTAAAAAGAGTTTTGAGACAAATAGAGCAGAGCCGTATGTACGATCAGCCAGCACCCGAACGGTGATTTCCCAAAATACCCTTACAATAAGTGTTATAAGATATGTTATGTTATGCTATATGAGGAATCATGTTATGCATGCTAGAGTAGACTAGGTATTCTTATTAGGACTAGAGTGACCTGATATATGATGCCTTAGTCTAGGGGTTTTGCTGCTAGAGATGCTTGAGAGTGTTTAGATAGCAGTGAGGAGCTTATGAGAGATCTGCTAGTGAGTAGCACATGAATAGAGAGAGTAGAGTACTTGGGATTTGGGACTCTGGAGGAGGACTTGGGATTAATGCTGAGGCGGTATGGATGGTAGTATTGGGCCAGACTACTGAAGATATCGGGTAAGTGCGCAGTCCAAGTAAAAATCCTTAGAGTACTAAGGAACAAGTAGGGTGGAGTTATCGAGTGTGATTATACTCAAGTGAATCCCTAATATTCTTATGTTGTATTTCAGAGGGAGATCATGGTAGGGACACACTACACACTAGAGAGCAGTGGTACGAGCGATGCTGAGATTCGTAGGATCATTCATGAGGAGGTGGTTACGGCCATAAGGGAAGAGATACCGGAGATGTTTGGGTCTATCAGTACCACTCTAATTGAGACATTTAACGAGAGATGCACTGCTCTTTCTAAGGTTGCCATTGCTATGGCCACTGCAGCTATAGCTGCGACGAGGTCGCAGGGTGGTGAGGTGGATATCAGACACCAGAGGTCGCATTGCTGTTCCGAGAGTTCAGCAACACGAAACCACCAGAGTTCGATGCGACCAAGGACTCGATTGCAGCGATGAGGTGGATATCAGACATAGGGGGTGTTTCTTTACTTGCTCATCTCCTGAGCATTTGAGAGTCTGGTTCGCGCTGAACCAGCTTCGCTTGGGAGCGAAGGATTGGTGGACGTTTGTGACGGCGCACTACACGCCTGTTGAGCTTGCTTCAGTGACCTGGGAGAGGTTCAATGCTATGTTTCAAGATGAGTACGTTCCCCAGGTAGAGCGGGAGCGATTGGCACAGGATTTTCTGACACTCAAGCAGGGTACTGAGTCTGTTACAACGATTACTTGGATGTTTCATGAGAGGGCAATGTTTTGCCCAGAGCACGTGTCCTCCATGAACGCACGTATGAGCCGATATTTGATTGTGTTGAGGAGGGATATATGAGAGTTCGTGGCGAACTCGGCATACCGGACATTTGGTGAGCTTCAGGCAAATGCCTGGAAGAGGGAGATAGAGTTCGAGACCCAAGCTAGGGAGGAGGCTGAGTCTCAGGGGAGGGATCGGCGGCCAGTTCAGTCCCAGCCGGCAGCCAAGCGGGCCAAACCCGCTGTTTTGAGATCTGGAACCAGAAGGGCCGCACTTGTGGTAAGTGCAGCAAGAGTCACAATGGGGTGTGCAGAGCAGGGTCTTGCTACAAATGTGGCAAGGAGGGGCATATGGCCAAGGATTGCCCCAAGGGGTTTGCAGTATGTTTTCATTACAACCAGAACGGATACCAGAAGGCAGAGTGTCCACAGTTGTGAGGGACAGCGCAGAGAGCATCTCTGGAATCTACCCCTGCTGTAGTGAGAGCTACGGATAGTCGGCCCGCGAAGGTCGAGGCACCGAAGGCACGAGGGAGAGCCTTCCAGTTAACTGCGGAGGAGGTCTGCACAGCGCCTAATGTCGTAGCCGGTATGTATTCTTTCATGTATTTATTTTTATGCTGAGATATTGTGCTAATATTATGTTATGCGTAGGTGCTTTTCTTGTGAGTTCTGTACTTGCCTTAGTGTTATTTGACTCGGGTGCGAGTCGATCTTTTGTATCTTTGGCTTTTAGCCAGCACATCAGTATTATTCGGGAGGGGTTGAGTTGACCTCTGGGAGTTTCCATAGTAGACGAGAGAGCGGTCTATGCCACAGACTTGATTTGAGGTTTTGTACTCGAGACTTTCGGGGTGAAGTTTCCGATTGAATTAATCCCTATTGTGATGGGAGATGTCTGTATCATCGTGGGCATGGATTGGTTGAGCAGATTTAGAGCGGTCATCAAATGCGAGCGACAGCTGGTGATCATACGAGACCCTAGTGGGGGAGTTCATACGGTGTATGGCGAGGGTACACGTTCTGGGTCGGCATTCTGTTCAGCCACTAGAGCGAGACAGAGTCTACAACAGAGATGTAAGGGATTTGTGGCGTATGTGATGGACACGAGGATTGATTTGGAGAGACCGAGGTCAGTTGATGAGGTTACGATAGTGCGTGAGTTCCTGGATGTATTTCCGGAGGAGTTGCCGTGTGTGCCTCCCCAGAGGCATGTAGAGTTCAGTATCGACTTGGTTCTGGGGGCTGCGCCTATCGCCAAGATGCCCTATCACCTTGCGCCTCCAGAGATGCAGGAGTTATCCTCGCAGCTTTAGGAGCTGT